TTAATTTTTAAAAAAATATGACTATTGTAGTGCATCAGTGATAATCTACATACAATCTACATAAACTTTTCTTTTTTTCTTTTTTCTTTTACTTCCCCTCTGCCAAGCAAGGGAAGTGATTAATTTGCCAGTACCCTGAAGTGGCTTTCTTATTAAGTTGCTTCACGATGCTGGCAAATTGAAAGAGGAAGGCTTGCTTTGGGTCAGTTCCAGCAATCATGCAGTGGAACTGATCCAAACCAAAGCAATCCTACCTGCACCAGAAAAGCAGACACCCCTAATCGGGGCCATAAAAGTGCAGGCAGGAATGCTGTGGGGGTAAGGCTGGTGCACTGTAGCAAAACTGTTGTCTGATTACTGTCTTTAAGAGCACACCAGCCTGTCTCTGCAGCACTCCAAACAACGGGCAAAACAGCCTGTGTAGTCAGCCTCACAGCTTACCACAAAACAAAATCAAGGCCCAACAAACTGCACAAATCATAAATGTAATCCAGAATATTTCCTAGAATTTTCTGTCAAATACAAGAATAACAAGGCTATGTTACCAGAGTTCTTTATGAGACAATTTGTTACTAAAAAGAGTTCCTTGGAGTTAGTTTTAAAGCCACAGTCTAAGGCTTCCTTGTCTATGAACTCTTGAAGCCTCACTCCAAACAACGGGCAAAACAGCCTGTGTAGTCAGCCTCACAGCTTACCACAAAACAAAATCAAGGCCCAACAAACTGCACAAATCATAAATGTAATCCAGAATATTTCCTAGAATTTTCTGTCAAATACAAGAATAACAAGGCTATGTTACCAGAGTTCTTTATGAGTCAATTTGTTACTAAAAAGAGTTCCTTGGAGTTAGTTTTAAAGCCACAGTCTAAGGCTTCCTTGTCTATGAACTCTTGAAGCCTCCCAAACCTCAGAAGAAAAATTTTTAAAAACCATAGCCAAAGAAGCCAAAACAAAATTAAAAAGCAAAATACAAAAACATGGTGGTGCCTTAAAGACTAATTTTCATACTCCAGTGTGAGCTTCTGTAGATTCATCCACTTCATCAGACTCCCTAATATGTCTGACTAAGTGGATTAAGTCATAAAAGCTTACACTGGAAAACAGAAGTTAGTCTTTAAGGTAATCACTACATTTTGCATTTTTAAAACGCTGTTTTTGTTTCGTCTGGTTATGCTTACACAGATCAACACGGCTACTACCATATTAAAAGCCGCTTTGCATACCGTGGTTTAAAACAAGGGGATTCAGCCTGCTTTTGACCCACTGGTTAGGGCTAAGAGCACCCCCAAATTATATCTAACAATCCCTATGAACAGGAGACTCCTCTGTCTTGAGAAATTACTGGGAATCTTCTCTTCTCTCCTTCTGGCAGCTGAAGCCCCAGAACTCAAGGAACCTTCCTCTTCTTCCTCCTCCTCTGGTGGAATTTCCCTTCTTTGCCAAGTCCTCCTTTCTCTTTCCCTTCCAGCCTCAGACTAACCTGCTGTTACAGACATTCCTCCCCCAAAGGAGGGGAAGAAGGTTAAGTCTAGCAGCGGGGGGGGTGAGGGGGGAGAGAGAGGGAGGGGAGACAGACAGACAGGCAGGCAGGCAGACAGACAGGGAAGGTTAGGCCCTGTGTGGGGCGGGGAGTCTCCAAAGCCTGACTATAGACGACCGCAGACCGACCGATCAACCCCCCCTCCTCCTCCTCCTGACTGCTTCCTCACCTCATGCATATTTATTTCTCTACAGACCTACAGCTCTTATTTTTCTAAAGCTGTTACAGATTTCGCAAAAAGGAACCCGCCGCCTTCCGCCG